TGCTCAATTTAATAGTAGCGACGATTTTCTCGTAAAAAGAAAAACAGTTAGAGATCTTACGGAAAGTATTTTTTATTTCCAACGACGATTAATCTTCGAAGATTTACCTCTGTTCCGTTTTAAAATTTCACGGAAAGTCAAATTGTAAGTGAATGCAAATATGTGTTTTGGCCGGGAGTTGTCAGTCTGCTTGTTTGTTTTCTGTAATGGCGTGTGTAAATCGGTGTTTCTTCCACCGAAAAGCTGAAGTCAATGAGACTCTTTCTACCTAGACACAAGGAGATTTAATGCGACTTTTATTCATCGAATTCCTGCGTTTCTGCCGTGAAATTTACGACGAAAGTGTATTTTAGGATTTTGAACTGGTGCTCAATAAAATTCTTTCTTAGCCTAAACTTATAAATTTGTTTGTATCTGGCGCATGTGCAACCCATTTGCAGCTTAAAAGTCGAACAGGGATTGTCACTTACTAAATTGGCTTGCCATTAAGTCTTATGATCACCTTCGTATGAAATTGTTTTTTTTGTCGTTGTCGTTTTACTAGTCCGCGTTTTACTAGTCCGCGTTTTACTAGTCCGCGTTTTACTAGTCCGCGCTTTACTAGTCCTCCTTTTACTAGCCCAGTCCAGTCCAGTCCAGTCTACGAAATACCATATGCCGAGTAGCGGCCGCACTTTGAAAAGTTTGTCGTGGTTAGCATTACCACGTGGTAAATCTCTGTTCTTGTCGTTCAAATGGAGATATTGAGAAATCTTCTTGAAACGATTTCTTGAAAATACCTTTTGTATCTCCGGAACGCCAAGGAGAGGATTCTTTGACCAGTATGAATGGATTTCTGGTAGCTGTTTGATTCCAAACATTATGTTTACTGCGAAGAATGTACGGATTTCAACGGCGTTTGTCTCACGCCACTCTGGGTCAGCTTTGATTGCCATCGCTTGCCGAGCATAGCGGTTGGTTTCTTCAGCAATTCTGTCAAAATTTTCTTGTTTAAACATCAGTTTAAAAAAATCGAGGGCAGATGACTGGACCAGTATTTTGGACGAAGGGATTCACTTCGACTGGATCACGATTTGTGTTCCACGGCACAACGCCGTCTTCTTCAGTATCTGAGTCAGTAAGCTCAAAATCCGAAAGGTCTTCAGTATTTACACAACCCAAGACACAGATATATCTGACTCACTGTCAGAGACATTTCTGCTGGATTCAAGTTGTTGACCGAATCCCAAAAACTCTTCTTCCTCGCTCTCCGATTGGAATAGCGCCGCCATTACGAAATAATAACATTTATTTTCAGCCTACGATACCATAAAAAATTTGTAAGAACCCTACCCCTGAAAGTAGACTCAAATGAAAGTAAAATTGTATCACTATTGGTTGAAATACAATAGACACCTGGAACAATAAAGGAAGAACGTTTTAGATTGGTTGGAAAACGATGAGGTCAAGCGTGCCATATGGCACTCTTGGGCTTTTGAAGGGGTGGTACAGGAGAGTGCCATATGGCACTCTTGGGCTGGAAAGGGTTAAAATGAATGAGAAGAATTTGCTGCTTTTCTATAACATCAAGAAATGGTTAGATATTCTAGTCTTCTCGGATAGGGACGAATAAATGGAGGTCCCGTCTCCTGCAGGGTTGGGGTAGGAGACGTTAATTTCCCACAAACGAGATTACTGTGTGATGGATGTCCTCCCCTGGGGTGGGATGGGTGAGTTTATTTACAGAGGGCCATGTGTTAGAAAACTCTTCGCTGGGTTAATCATGTATTTACCCTCTTGAAATAAAGAACATTGTATTGTATTGTATTGTATTTCAGTTTGTCACCTTCCACAAGTCAGCTCTTGAAAATGTAGCTTTGTGATGAAGTCCTTGTAACCTGGCCTGTAATCTTGAGTACCAAACCAGCCAGTGATTTAGTTCGTAACCATGAGCTTGGTAACCTCGTCTAGCTGCAGCAATTACCTATAAATTAAATTAAATGATCCAAAATTTACAAAGAAATAGTATTTCCCTTGCATATCACATCCTTCTGTTCCACCTTGTCAATTGCTGAAGCCAGCACAGAAGGGGGTCCAGGTTTGAACCCCCCCTCGCCACATTCAGACCTGAATGTGGCTTATTTTTCTTTTATAGCTGTTCGTCTGACTTCAAAATTCTCAAAAATGGGATTTCTTATGAACCCCTTTAAACTGTAGGAGTGATCAGTATCCAATTTGTCCTGACATAAATTCTGCTAAATCATTTCTTAAGATCATAACATTTAAGGGAATGATTGCCAACCCAGGAAGCTTAGATTGTTAAATAAATTATCCTTGTCAGAAGAAGAGTAAGGAGGAAATAGATACTGATGTTAGGGTGTAAAAGGTCAAAGGTCATCTGGCTGATTTTTTTAACGAAGGGAAAGGGTTGACTTCGAAGCAATTTTAGTCCACCCCCCCATCAAACACTCTCGGGTGACATTAAAAATGATACAAACCACTCTTCCGTCCCCACTTCCCAAGTCCACCAAGGTTGATCCTTTATGTTTGGAAGCTCCCATTCGTAAGATGTTAGCAATTTGTCTCTCTGTGGCCGGTACGTAAGGAAGACAAATTTTTCGTAACGCTGGCGTTACAAATGGTGTAGTCACCAGCACAATTCCAACAGTTGCGGTCCCTGTAATTCCGAGGAATACTTTGCCTATCTTAGATTTACTCTTAGAGTTTCTTGCGTCCTCTTGCGAATCAAATCCCAGCTGATTCTCAGGGCTCATGTCTGTTGCCTGGTTGTTTTCAGAAGACTTGTGAGATCGTTCCACGATACATGGGCAAATCAGCATTGACACAAAAATAACAATCTAACGCATGTGATTTCTTTATCAAGAGCTATGTTTGCGCGGAAATCGTTTCATTTCGCGCTATCAGGAGTAAAATTCCACAAGTTTGGCTCCAAGAAAACAAAGACAAACATGCTATCCACAAAATTCACGTGTACCCGGCCATCTTGGAAAATAAACTCTGCACTGTGTAGGGAGGAGGGGAGTTTTTCGTTATCTTTCAATTTTTTTTCTTTAATCCGCCATGACACATCCCAGCTGTATTAGTCGGAATAAATATTTCACTATTGATATAACAATTCCTTTTATAACATGATATCAAGTAACTCTATTAAGCAAGAAAAACTTTGTGATTTGACTCCCTCCTACCCCCTCACTCGTCTTTTTTGACTGTCTAGATTGCGGGCTCATAAACAGAAAATCAAGATGGCGGCCGGAAAGTAATGATTTCAGCTGATTGCACGAATCCGCGTAAAGGCTGCTTGCGATGGTGCAATCTGCAGTGGAATCAACGTTGTCTGTAAATGAGATTTATGTATAACAAGCTGATGGTGACAAGCTGGCTAAGATATGTTCGGATCTCTTTTTGAAACCGATGGAGATAAGTTGGAAAACAAGAACTCGGCTGCTACCGTCAGAGTTTCCAAACAGAACAAGTCGAACTGGCCACCTGAACCAAGAGGGCTGACTGGAATCTGTGGTCTGCAGAATCAAGGAGCCACTTGTTATTTGAATTCTCTACTGCAGACGTTATTTTTCACTCCAGAATTTAGAGGTAAGTTCAATATCTGGACGTTAGCAGTGCCAACAGCTGAGGATCGAAGGAAGATGGAAAAGTTGTCACGAAAGTATTTTATACTTTTTTAATTTGAAAAAAATCCATATATATGATATCGTGAAGGTTAAAGTGATTTTGATTAAAGAGTTGATCATGTTATGTAGGTGAATTACTTTTCTACTTGTCAAAAATGTTTCTGCCTGGCCAGTCATTTGCACATCAATCATTCCACGAACTTCTCTCAAGATAAAAAGAGTTGTAGACTTCCGTTTGTGCTGAAAATAAATCTGTAGCTTAAGGGGCCCCCTAATTTCTCATTAAGGTTTTTGTCTGCACAACCCCCTCCCCCCACCCCCCCTCCACTAGTTGAGGTATTCTGGAGGAGATGTAGCTAATGAAAGTAATGGAATGTTCCTGTAATTACTTAATTTTTCTCAAATAAGGAATTTTATCAGCACTTCTGTGTAAGAGGTTTTAGATTATTTCTTTTACAGATGGTTTGTTGCAGCTTACATTGGAAGATCTGAGTTGTGATTTGAAAGATGGAACATATGCTAAGGTAAACATAATCAGAATGTGAAACTAGTTGATTTTAGGTTCTCACACCATTTGAGGCATATGCCTTTTCATAAGTTATTCTCAGTAAATATATACCACACTGCAGTGGAGGCACGGAGGCCTCATGGTTGGTGCGCTTGACTCCAGATCGAGTGGTCCAGGTTCGAGCCCCGGCCGGGACATTGTGTTATGTTCTTAGGCAAGACACCTTACTCTCACAGTGCCTCTCTTCACCCAGGTGTTTAAATGGGTACCGGCAATTTAATGCTGGGGGTAACCCTGCGATGGACTGGCATCCCATCCAGGGGGGAGTAGAAATACTCCTAGTCACTTCATGCTACAGAAACCGGAGTTAAGCACTGGCCTAATGGGCCGCTAGGCTTGTAAACAGACTCTACCTTACCTTTTACCTACATTGCAAACAGTTGATCAGATTGCCATATTCTGTAATGATGAATGAAATAAAAAATGTTCTCCATCTCTTTTTTAGGTCAGAGTGATACCACTTCAACTTCAGAAATTGTTTGCAAAGCTTCTGCTGCTTGATCAAGATAGCATTAACACTTCTGAATTGACAGATAGTTTTGGTTGGACAGGAAATGAGGTGATACATTGATAAAACCAATTGAAATTATTTCTGATAGAGAAGATTATTTCAAAGTTTGCCCAAATGTACCCAAGTTAAGGTAACAGAGTGATGACAGGTGCTCAAGTTAATGGTACAAGAAGAGTACAGACTTTTTATCATTTTCTAATCACAAGTACTATTTTTTTGACTTTTGAATGAACAGGGATTTCAACAGCAAGATGTTCAAGAATTGAACAGAATCTTGTTTGGCGCTTTAGAATCATCTCTTCTTGGCACCCCAGGAGAAGCTTTGATCAAGAATCTGTATCATGGAACCTCTGTAACAAAGGTATGTAATCTAATATTTAACAATCTTTACAACTCCTCTTCATCTCAAGATCATACTTGCACATCGTTCCAAACTTAACTGCCTTTAAGAATGGCTTAATTTAATGAATTAAATTAATTTTTTTAATTTTATCTCCTAGTATGTTGTATGTTGCATTTGTGATCTGTTCTTTGTCGTTATTTTCCTGCATTAGGTAAGGTATCCACTTTGTTATTCTGACTAATTTGTGAGTTTTAAATGACATTGATTGACAGGTAACTTGTCAAGAATGTTGGAAAATCAGTGAAAGAGAAGTAATGACATTAAAATTTATTATTTTCTATATTATGTGTTAAAAAGAATATAAAAGGAGTTCTTGCCATTATCGTGATGATGATGATGATGATGATGACTTTATTTAAACTCGGATGAAAATGAGGCTTGTTAGGCCTCTAGGCCATCTTAAGAGATGTTTTACCTATAACTATGTGTGAGATAATAATCCAATTGCAATTCTCCAAATCTCTAAAATTTCAACCATATTATTTGTATTTTTAGGAGGATTACCTTGACCTTCCATTAATTCTCTCTGGGTGCAAAGACTTGGAAGAGAGTCTTTCTATGAGTTATGTTGCCATGGAGATTTTGGAGGGAAGAAATCAGTATAAGTGTGGATCATGTAACAAGCTTGTCAATGCTATAAAGGTTGGTTCTATAAACAGACATGCATGTTAATGTGCCACAACTTCATCATCATTATCAGTATTATCATCATTATAGTCATCATCGTGGTCATCAGTGTGCTGGAATATTTACCAGCATGCCTGCCAATAGTGTTTAGTGTTATTAATTAATAATAATAATAATAAATATTATTATTATTATTATTATTTACCAGCATGCCTGCCAATAGTGTTTAGTGTTATTAATTAACAGCTGTCATGCACTTTCACTATAAGTGCAATCATTAATGGTGCTGTCTTTATTTTTAATTCCCAACTATTACTGTCAGTGCAACTTTAAGGCATTAATGGTGTCTTAATTCACCAATGGTTACTCTGTCAAGGTAATGTTTTTTAATGATGTTAACATTTTGTTTCCTTTGCCGAGGGGTGTAACATAAGTACAGTGCCTCCCATCCTGACGTTTTCATTGCTGAGGTTTGATTATGATTTTCGAAGAGGTGAACGGTTTAAGGTAAATTCAAGATAGCATTTGAGGTTGCCAACTGATCAAGATGCAATGACTTATATTCCATGTCTCAATTTCCATTTCCTATTTTTTTTTTCATTTCCTACCGTTGTTCTATCAGTACGCTTTCATTCCTTATTTTGCTTTCCAAATTTTCCTCTGTTTCAGGACAATAAAATAATTTTGAAACAGATATTTTCAGTGTGGAATTTACTTCACACAACACTATTGCTGCCTTTCAGGACTGTAAAAGATACTCCTTTCCATTCACATTGAACATGAAAGAATTTTGTGAATCAAGTGATGCTGTTGGAGCAGATCAAGAATATGAGCTGTTTTCTGTTGTCATTCATGGGTAGGTTGCGGCAGTTTACTTTACTATTTAATAAAATCTCAGAAGTGTTTGACATTAGTTCTATTTTCTACCTACAATTTCAATACAGTACTTAGCAACCAGGGAAGGAGAATAGGCAACCCTGTTTTATATTATCTGGATGTTTTTTTGCTCACAACAAATTCCTTTTACCTATCTACAAAGAAAAAGTATGCCAGTGAGAAGGGAGAAAACAAGTTAGAAAATGTGATCAAGGGAATGAAAGGGTTTCAGTGCCTGTTGAAGCATTCCAGAGAGAGTTCCCTGTTCCTGAAAATGACACAAAATATCACAACTGCCTTAAGAGGCCAGGATTTTTTTCCCCAATAGTTTTGTAAACTCCTGTTACATTGATATCTGATGTGGTTGAGCTTTCAGGTGAACACATAAATTTGTTTTAGACAAAAAAATAGTCAGATTTAAATGTTGAAATAATGTCATTTTGTCAATCAAAATTTAGACACTTCCTTTATTTGTTTTCTTCAGAGGTAGTTGTTATGGAGGACACTACCACGTGTATATTCGTGATGTTGAAGGATTGCGAACCTGGCATCCACCTGTGAGTAGCTATGAAACTTAAAAGTATTTGAAAAAAAATCCAGTGAAATAAAGGTAATCACATGTATTTTTTTAGTCAGGAAAAGTACTAAATAATAATGCATGATGTCAGAGCATATTTGGACAGTAACAATTAAATTTTGTCTTTCAAGGTAAAGGAGCAAATGAAAGTTGTCAGAGAAAATGATGGTGGTGAGAAAGATTTCATGAACTGTGGTAACCCTGTGGACTTGATTATCAGTCTACTGAAGAAGCTTGGTGGTGCCGCATCTGTCAATCAGTTATTTCAGGTAAAAGCTTAGGTCAGTGTTTGTTTTTGATTGGACATGCTGCACTGAGTATTTCTTTAAAAAAATGATAAATTTGCCATTTTCTCATGCATTCTACTTTGTTCATTTTACGAATAGTGTATGTCAAAGGAAACAGGGATTTCTTGGAATAAGTGTTTTAAAAGTCAGTATGGACCTCTAACAAAGGTATTGTGGGTACCCTGTGCTGTTAGACTGCTAAGTGTGTTTTCAGGGATAGCAGACAGGCTTAGAATTTTGTACTTACAGATTGACTAGATGTGATTTGATTAGTGAAATATTTCTAGGTCCAAAGATTCTGGTAAAATGCGGTCACCAAACACAGGATTGACGGAGAAAATAAGTTACTGAGCAAAGTGGGAGTTAAAATGCTTGATTTCTTTTTGCCTGAGCCGAGAGACAACTGCACCATCATCATCATCATCATTTTAATATGTAACCTGCTTGTAACCCTAGAACACAATTTGCCTCAGGAGCTAACCATGACAAAAAATTTTCCCCCAGTTCTTCAAGAAGCACTCTGATGTGTTCAGGTTCAGTGATGCAGCAGGTTATGTTTCACTACAAAATGGTAACAATGGAAATTCCAGCAGCCCATCAACAGCACTGGTCCAACAACAAGCTGAACACAGGAAACTTGAAGATGATGTTCCTAAAAGAAACTGCCAAGCTGTAGTGGTCGAGTAGGTTGACATATTCATTGTTTAAAAGTTGAATCAAAATTCAAAGATGCCTGGTTTAATTTTCGATGTCAATTTTGTGCTCGTCATTAGTGGAAGTTTGTCTGAGCATGGACATCACTGGTTTGACATAAATGATTCAAGGATATCTTGTATTCATGAGAAAGACCTCCAACGTCAGTTTGCTGGAAAGGAAAGTGCCTATATGCTGTTTTACAGAAGGAAAAACCTTCCTGCCTGTGTGGAAGATCCAGGTCAGACTAACAAGGATGGTTTGTTGCAAATTTCTTTTTTCTATTCTTGGGGATTTGTGACATGTAGTTGTTGCAAAAGACTTAATCTTGTTTTTCTATGAACAGTTCTCTTGGTCCCTGCTCCCATTAGAGCTGAGATTGACAAACTAAATGAAGATTTAGTAAAGCAGAGGTGAGTCCTTGAGAGTAAGATAAAAAAATTGTATTTTGAAACCTGACGCTAACTTAAAACGTATAAAAAGGTATTTAATAGATACCAAGATTTGATGGACACAAGAACCTTTTATAAGTTGAGGACAATATAGATTCCTCAGAATTATGTTCAGTCTGCATTTAAGGCAAGTGGCTATCCAGCTGGGACTTATCCCAGTTTCTGTGGAACATAACATTTGAGAGTATTGCTACTCTCTCCTTAAGGGGAAAGATCATCCATGCCATGGCTACCACCCAGCGTACTGTCAGGCTTCCCTGACAGTTTGTCTGGGTGCAGTTAAGGGTTTTGCTTAAGAACAGAACATTATAGCTCAACCAGGTCTGGAACCTGGACCTCTTCACCCAAAGTCCAGTGTATGAAACATTTTAAACAATTTTGAGATTATTTTTAGAAATCTGTCAAAACAGTGTAGACATGATATAAAAGAGGCTCAAAACAAGAGACTGAATAGCTAGACTGTAAACTTGGGAAGAGACCAAGATTGAGGGATATACTATTTTCAGTATACACTTAAAAAGCAGTCTACTGCTTGTCTGCTAAACATAACTAACATTATTAATAATTATTATTTTCATCTTCTCCTTAGAAAAGAATATGACCGTCATCTAAATGAAATTTCTGTTGGTGTGCATTTTGGAGACAACTATTCAGTGACAGACAGTGTCCTGCATCTTAAACAGGTAAGACAAGATTGAACAAGGAAAACATAATTAAACAGGTAAAACAAGATTTAAAAGGTAAAATGAGAATGTTAGGGTAGTCATTAGGTAAATATTTATTAAAGTTGTTAGCTGTTTCCATCTTGGTTTGCATAAGAAATGCTTTTTCTTATTTAAACTTTTAGGGAGTATCTGGTGAACCACTGATTATGTTACTGGATAGGAGAAAGCCTGTAAATGATCTCTTACAAACTGTTCTTAAGGTAAATCACAATGTAACATACTAAAACTGTTTTGTTTACTATCATGATTTACAAAGGGTTGAATTTGTCTATTTGATTATTTGATTTTATAGCTTGACCCACCTGGAAATAATTCAGAATGTAACACTCTTCACATTGCTCGACCATTACCATCAGGTCTCCATCTCTTTGAAGAACTAACAGGTAGTTGAAGAGTAATTTTTCAGGGAAACAATTTTTTGATGAATTAAACATACTATAATTATTCTAAGCAAGCATTCTGGCCTCAAAAAAACTCATATGTTTCACTGTATTGTGTTTTTGTGCAAGATGAGATTACATATTTGTGGGGTGATATTATGGCATGATTACTGCAGATTGAAAGGATCAGGGTGTGAGCTTTGGGAGGGTTGTTGTGTGATGTTCTTCACAACTCCCTTCCCAGGTGCAGGGCTTTGGTTTAGAGGAAGGCGGGGGGACAAGCAGCTAACTGTTGGCTTTGGAAAATTTGTAAAACATTGTTTTTATGGAGTTTTTTTAGGAGAAGGGCATTCCAGATCTCCAAAACCTTCATTCATGTGTTGATTCTCCCAAACAACAGCTTAGGGGTGTTTGAATGTGTGCTGGCAAACTGTCAAGGAAAGCAGAGGGGAGAGGGGTGACTTGGGATGGACTGGCATCCCATCCAGGAGGGTTTACTAAAGCTATTAGGTGATTCATGTTAAGCAGGATGGCCAGTCTTGCTTTTATGCTGACTTATCGACTCACCTTACAACAGAATATCCAGAAAAGTCTCTTATACAAAGTGGAGTGAGTGGAGGTACAGATGTATTTCTATGGAATGGAAAAGAGGTGAGAGGTTTCGTTGTATTGAGGATTTTTTTTTTTTTTTTTTT